ACCTGCTCAGAAGCAAGCCTGCTGAGAAGGCTCAGGCTTAGGGAAGAAAATGGATTTCCTCATTACATCAAATCACGCTGGTTTACCTACCAACGTGGCTGTCACTCACACCCAGCACCTTGACAGCACGGTCCCAACTGTCGATGTGCCTGCGTCCCTGCCAGAGCTGGGCAGGCCACCTCCACCCAGCCACCTCTGGACGTGCCTGCGTCCCTGCCAGAGCTGGGCAGGCCATTCCTGCGCCCAGCCGCCTCTCCAGGGAAGGAGACAGGACGCGGCAGAAAAGAGAGGCCCTGATCCAAGACGCTTAGACACCCCCATCTTTCAACCTTGCTGTCCTATCTGCAAAACGGGGAGTGACAACAGCTCATGGGTTACAAGTGTTAGCTCATTCGTGTGACTGTAGGACAGAGGACGTGCACGGTCATATGAGTGTCCTCGATTCCAGTGACCCTGGGACCACAGCTCCCCTGGGGCAGTTTAAAGATCACTCAATGCACATCCAGGTGGGGCCCAGGGCTTTCCAAGGGACAGGGACTCTTAGGATGACCCTGCTCGGGGCCACCTGTCCCAGAGGACAGAAGCATGCCGGATACACACGCAATGGCATTCAGAGCAGCCCAGGTCCCACGCGCTGGCCGAGAGCTGGTATTCACAGAGGTGCAGATGAGCACACTCACCAAGGGCAAGCCAGCGCCTAAGGACCACCTTGCCTGGAAAATGCCAGACCATGAAAGTCCAATGCAAGGCAGTCAAGCCCCGGCTTCCCAGAGACTGGAGGAAGGTGCTAAGATGAGGTTGGGGGCATTCTGGGTGGGAGAATCCCACCCACGTCCCCTCTGCAGGTGGTGACCTCTTCCCTGCTCAGGGAGCACCTGCAGACACACCTGGCGGGCAGCTCAGGTAGGCACACATTTACAGGTGTGGGCAGTCCTGCCAGCACCGCTGTGGCAGGGGTCGCCAGCTATTAAGAAGGGAACAGCAGCATCTTGGAGTGACCAAGCGCCAATGCCAGGACTGAGGGCCACCTCTCCACACCTCCCAGGCACTGAGCTACCGCTCCTTCACGTGGGCCATGCAGACAACAGTCTTTGCCCTTTCACATCCTTGCAGTCGAATGTCACCTAGCAGCCCTTTCTCACTTTAAAAAACATACTGGGCTGCAGGCGTAGCTCAGTGGCAGAGCACTTGCTTGGTGTGCACAAGGCCCTGGGTTCCATCCCCAGCACCAGAAAGAGAAGAAAATATGTGCACTGACGTGTGTGTGTGTGTGTGTGTTGCTGGGGAGGGAACCCAGGGCCTTGTGTAGGTTGGGCAAACACTCTACATACTGAGCTGCATGCCCAGCCCTTTGCACTGACTTATAAACCCAACACCTGTGAAGACAAGGCTCTGGGTTCAGTGACCCCAGGCTGCATGTGTGGTGGCTGGCAGGGTTCCCACCAGCCTGGCATCAGCGGCAGCAGGTTGTCTTCTTTTGGACAGACTGGGTGGGCTGCTCTGAGGAGTTAGGAAAGCCAGACTTTAGAAGTGGGGAGAGTGAGCTGGCCAAGGAGCTCAAGTTGGTGCCCTCCCTCTCCTCATCCTCTGGGCCCCTGAGTGGAAAGCATAGCTCTGGGCGCCACCTGGTGGCAACACAGGCTGCCACAGCTGCCCTGTGGCTGGGAGAAGCAGCTATCCTAAGCCTCTGCACAAGTATCACCTGCTCAGACAAGTGGAGCAGGCAAGGGACTGGGACAAGTCAGACGCAGGCAACCCCAGAACCACTCAGGCACAGCACCTTTGTTGTGACTTCTGAATATGGGTATGGCCTGGGCTCTAAAAACTCAAGATATTTCAAATAAAAGGACAAGCTGCATGAATAGGGATGCCACCTACAAGGGCCAGGACACGAGGTGTCAGACGATGCAGAGTTCAAGCTTAAGTCTGCTTTCTCTCACCCCTGAGAGCCACGTGCCTTTCCTTCACTGGAGGGCTGTTTCCAACCTGAGAAAGAGGACAGGTGAGACAGGCTCACAAGGGGCTCGGGCAGGCAGACGCAGCGAGGCTGAACCCATTCAGATAATAACAGCAGCACCTCCTGGTGTCAGAAATGAGTTTACCACAGCCAAAGGCACCTGGGTAGGTCATACTAAACTGGGGACCATGGAGTGGGCACTTCTGAGCCCCAGTCACACTGAGACGACGGTGATCTGTTTATCAGAAGCTCAGGAGTGAGAAGTACAAATTTTAACATCACTTTACTGTCTTGGTGTCCACAGCACTTGGTGCACTGGTGATTCCAAGGGAATGGCTGAGAAAGGAACTTTTTAGGGAATTGAAAACTACCAGTGTTCATCAAATGACTACGATGTGCCCAACATTTTGTCTTTATTATTTCCTTTAAATCTAACAGCATTTAAGTTTGACATTATTATTTTCTCCACTTAACAGATGAGAAAAATGGAAAACTAATGCCCAAGGTCACTGTTAGTGAACTCAGCACCCCTCCTGGAAAAAAGGAAAGGACGCTCAGAGCTCACCTGTCTCTCTCGCTGGCATCACTGTGTAGGAGATGCTTCCACGCAAAAGCAAAGCCTTGATAGCACCCAATCTGTATTTTAAAGATGTTGGAGAGTAAAATTAATAAGAGCTGGCTACACTGAATCTAATTACCAAATTCCTAGACACAAGGAGGGGTGGAGGCAGCTGTGCTTCTGCTAGTGTTTTGGAAAGACCCACGGAGCATGGGCAGTGGCAACTAGGCAGCTAATCAGTGGGGCAGCCAGCCCTCATTCCTCCCCTGTGTTCACACCCTGAGCAGTTCCCCTGACCACAGGGAGGCCTGTACAATCACAGAACATGCAGGCAAAGAGAGGGTGTGATTCTGAGGATAGAGAGACGGGGACTCCTGTGTTGCTTTCTTGGACCACTTGCCCTTCAGTGCTAGGAGGACCTGAGGGGTTTTGTGGAGAGGTCCATGCCCACTGTCATGTAAGTGTGCCACCTTCAGGGTGGATCCTCCAGCCCTAGCCAAGCCTTCAGATGAGACTGAAGCTGGGGATGACATCTGGGCATAGCCTCAGGAGACCCCACTGCTGCTGAGGGACATCCTGACCTCAGCAAGAGGTACGCAGGGAATGCTGTCCTCACTGCCTTGCCTCAGACTCTGCACTCGGGGCCAGTTACCTGTAAGAGGGCCAACCTCTTATAGGTAAGAACGCAGTTCTGTGGCATCTCAATACAAACACAGGCGCTCGGTCTCTGGGAGAGGACCCAGGTGGCTGAAGACAGCGTCCTGCCTCCAATGCAAGTGGAGGCAACCAACGGCTTCTCATCCTCCAGCCACATAACTTAATGGTCTCCAGACAGCAACGTGCTCCCGTCATGGGTCCCAAGAACACTTCCCGCAGGGACCTGGGCGGCCTGGAAAGGCCCACGCAAGGCTTGGGCCTTCAGAGCTTGGTGTCCCACTCAACACACGGAGCATCCGAGTACATTACAAACTGGAAAAGCGTCCATGTGAGCGGAGGCTCCCACTGACCTCAGACCCAATTTTGGCTCCACGCAGCGCGCCATGCTGTCTTCCTTCAATCCGACCCAAACTGCTGCCGTCCTCGTAGCCTTCCTGATAGCCTTCCCCGTGGAATCTGATGGAGGAGGCGAGGCAGCGATAAACCAAGGGAGGTGCTTCGGGGGACCCTCGCTCTCGGTGCCACCCACAGCCCGCCCAGGCCGAGCAGGCTCGAGCAGCAGAGGCCCGAAGCCCAGGCCAACCGCCGGTTCCCGCCGCGGCCGCAGCCCTCTCCCGCGAAGCTACCCCCTCGGTCAGGGCGGACGCGGGAGAGGACCGCCCGAGAGGGACGGCCCGCGGCAAGGCCGGAGCCTCCCGCCGCCCTCGCCGGCCACGCCGCCGGCTCCACGGTTTCCCGACCCCGGCATCCACGTCTCGGGGACGCGGACCGGGCTGCGGCGCCGCCGGGACGGGCGCTCGGGAGCCGCTCAGCAGCTCCTTCCGGAAGCAGGCGGCCGGCGAGGCGCTCGGCCGGGTCCCCTCGCGCGACACCGCTGCCCACTCGGGCGCGGGCAGCCACCGTCCGCGGTCCCGGCCGTGCCCCTCACCTCTCATCCGCCATCACGATGGCGTCGAACATGTCCTGCCTCCCGGCCATCGCCACTGGCGCTCCTTGCTCACGGCGCCGCGAGGCTCTGGCAGCAACACACCACTTCCGAGGACGCCGAGCCCACTTCCGGGGACGGCCGCGCGGAGCAGGCTGGGTAGGGACGGCACGCGAAAGGGCCCAAAAGGGTTCAGGACGCACGCGCGGCGGGAGGGCGGGGCGAGCCTGGACGAGGCTCAGTCCAATGTACCCCTCGCCTTCCTCGTTGCTCCGCAGTGGGTCAGTCCGTTCCCGCCGGAAGCGTCCACTTGGCCGCACGTGGGGGAAACCGGACACGTCTGCATTGTTTTTAAAAAAAAATGAGTAGATGGGACCGAGTTGGCCAGTGTGGCTCGGAGAGACACCCGAGGAGTTGTCACAGAACCGACTCCCCAGGCTGCCCGGGCCGGAGGCTCGGGTCGCGGGCGAGGCTGGCAGGTGCCACCGCTAGAGCCCCGGCCAGGGGTGATGGGTGCTGCGGTGCCCAAAAAAGGATGTCATAAACGTTGCCCCTCCCGAAATGCAAGAGTGATCTGGAGATGAGGAAGAAAAGGTTGTGTGTGTGCTGTTACCTTGTTTTTTTTTGGTCTTTTTAATCCTTTTTTTTTTTTTTTTTATACTTTTTTAGTTGTTTTTTACAGGGCTGAGGACCGAACCCAGGGCCTTGCGCATGCTAGGCAAGCGCTCTGCCACTGAGCTAAATCCCCAACCCCGAGCACTGTCTCTTGCTGTTGGTGTTTTAAGCAAAACCAGAGTAAGTCATGCAACGTCAAGAATCAAGTTGTACAGAAGGGTTTGCCCACAAGAGCACCCACCCTGTCCAGGCCGCCCTGCAGCCGAGGCATCCACTCTTTTCTTTAAAAAAGAAAGAACAGGAGTTGGGTTTAGTTCTGGCATTTTCTGAACAACGTTTTAAAAAATATTTCAGATGAGCAGCAACAAGAGAACCTACCTCTGGAACCCAGAAGCTTGTCCCTCAAATTAAGAATGCCTTATCCCAGAGCTGCCCCCGGGAGTTCCTGTGCCACACCTGGGCAATGCAGAAGATCACCTGGAAGTGTAGGAGGCAGAGGCATCATTTTTTGCAAGTGACCCATCTGGAAAACCCAAAGCCCTCCTGTAAAACCTTCTCAGAATTTTAATAGGGTTTCGCAAGTAGCAATATATACAAAAAGTAGCAAACAGAATCCCCTGCTTTCTGTTATACCAACCATAATCAACAGTGGTCTCTGCAGGCCTGGTGAGGGGGATGCTTTGCAGTACTTACAATAAATTTATTAGAAATAATATTTCTAACAATTCAGGCAGGAGCTATATGAAGAAAACTCGAGATACACCACAAACTTGTGTGGGGACACTGAGCAAATCAGTACCAAGCAGAATTGCATATGATCTGGGAAAAGTGTCCGAATTCTGAATTTTGTCTGCCTGAACAAATTGTTCACAATAACTAAGGCTTAAAAAAGGGGGGGGGGATGATAACAGAGAACTTGCTGTATCAGACATGAAGAGCTAAAGTCTCAGTATGTTGGTTCAAGAAGAGACAAACGAAGGAATTCCCCCAGAATGGCCCAGAGAGCGAAAACATGGAGATGTGAAACCTTCTCACGTGTAAAAAGAGCGTCCCGAATCGATTGGGGAGGGAATTCCAATCCATAACTATAATGGAAATAATATCGGCCACTTGGGAAAAGTCAAGTTCCACTCACATCTGATACCATTCCTCAAAGTCATTCCAGATGAATTAGAGTCCAACTGCAAGAGAAAGAAACACTAAGAAATCCAGGGGGAACGGGTAAATAGGAGATGCACCTTCAGGTCCTAGGCGTCACGGGTGAAATAACAGCAGGAAAAGGAGCCTCCTCAACATAGGAACTGCAAACTTGGCCCTGGGAAAGCCGGAAGAAACAAAAGCTGTGTCACAAAGGAACAGTAATTCTGGCTTATAAAGAACTGACTGACATGGGGAAGACACACCTGCTTTCTAACAGGAGAGAGGACATCACATTCTAACAGAAGGGACCAGTGTACTCACATTTCACAGGGAAGAGCCACAGGGAGCCAACAATGGAGCAGCAGGCCTCACTAGTAATCCAAGGAGGAAGCAAGCTGGGAAATCCACCCTCCACCCGGCCACTCTGGCCACCGGCTGATTGATGTCACATCTTTACTCTTGACCCTTCCCAGAATCTTAATACATGTACATCTTTGTGCCCTCCCCTGCCCACTGACATGATATTTCAAACAATGCCCAAGGGAGGGGACTGTTCTGTTATTACTGCATATTTAAAATACATTTTTTTTTAGCATGAACTTTATTAGCTGAAATTAAAAAGAACAAGTCTTGCCTGGCTTGTGGCCCACACTTGTCATCCCACACCTGTCATCCCAAGTGGCTTGGGAGGCTGAGGCAGGAGGATCGCAAGTTCAAACCCAGACTGCCTTCACATCAGCGTGTGCCACTGTGCCCAGCCTGATTGTGTTATCTTGGGCATTTCACTGTTATGTTTAAAAACTGCTTTGCTTTCAAATAAGAACCACACCTTAAAAATGGCCCTGACGTTGGAAAAAGACTAAAAGTGCCAATATTATTGGTTTCAGAAGTCTTAAATGATTCCAAATTTGATGTTTGTTTAGCAACTGATCACATTAAAAGTAGGCAGGAAAAATCAGAACACCTCCCTTGCTTTGACAGTTTTTGGAAAACACACGCGATGTTTGCCTGTGTGTATCTTACAAGCTGATTTTCACCTGAGAATGTGATAGATTTGTGGTATCAATGGTCTAGTATTGGTGCAGGGAAAACTCTGGAGAGCTTCTGAGAGCGTGGACTTTTCTAGGCTGGTTTTCATTTCCCTGGAAGTTACACTGATTCTGTGTCTGCCTGGCAGCAGTCTGGGCTGTGGCTCAGTGGCAGAGCATTTTGCCTGGTATGCACGAGGTGCTGGGTTCAATCCCCGGCACCGCAGAAAAGGAATACCATCATAAAATATTTAGTTTTTTAACCAAAGGTATAAAGGGGATGGCGTAATGGATTCCCAGAAACCCACCACACTAAGATAAAACACATTTTTTTTTTTTCAAAGGGAAAAAATTCAAGAGACAAACCAGGTCAACATACCTGAAGTGAAAAAACCAAATCCATCCAAAGTTCAATCTTGAAAAGGGTCCAGGAACAGGTACTGACTTGTTAGAAGCCGAGCTCTGGAGCAAAACAGCAGAGGCTTGCAAGAGTGAGTCAGCTGACCCAGAGGCGGACTGAAGCAGCAGCAGCAGCGCCCTGGACGGGGGCGGAGGAGCAAGCGCTGAACTAAATGCATCCACTCCTGATCTGCTTCCAGAGGGACCTGGGGCACGCCCACAGGTGTTCACAGATGTAGAGAAGCAACCTTCAAGGAGGGGTCCTGAGCCACAGCAGCCTGTGTGGGAGGTGGCCTGGGCAGGGGTCTGGTTTTCCCTTACCTGTTTCTGCCCCGGCTCTTTTTGTCTGTTACTTTTGCAGGAAGCACGCAGACCTTTCTTCAAGGGGGAAGCCATTTTAAATTCTCTCTTTTTTTTTTTTGGGGGGGGGTATGGGGGATTGAACTCAGGGGCACTTAACCACTGAGCCTTGTCTTCAGCCCTTTTTATGTTTTATTTAGAGACAGGGTTTCACTGAGTTGCTCAGGGCCTGGCTAAGTTTCTGAGGCTAGTTTGAACTCACGATCCTCCTGCCTCAGCCTCCCAAGCCACTGGGATGACAGGCGTGCGCCAGGCCTGTTTAAATTCTTAAAAGGAAGTCGTCAGATGACAATTCACCTTAGGGCCATACATCTCCTATGTTCATTATAAACAAGGACAACACAGCTGGAAAAGAGGCCATTTGGGGACCCAGGTTTGACCCATGGGGCGGTGGGAAGGGAATTCAAGGGAGAAGACATGCTTGAGCTTTCTGGCTGAACTTCCTCCCTGTTCCTTCCCTAAAAGGAGGTACCCAGAAGTGCCACTTTCTACCTGCCCACTGGGGAACCTCTGGCAGCCACAGAGCAGGAGGCCGGGAATGGGGCTTGGGGGTCTGTGGCTGTGGCCAGCGAGCATAAGCACCTGCCTGGCTGCAGGAGGGTCCTGCCCACCCCCAGGCAGCAGGGATGGCATAGGCCTGGCCGTCCATGGGGGACAAGACCTGAGGTTTGGCCAGCCTGTGTGACCCCAGCCTTCAGCTCCTCATGGTCTGTTTTCCTCTCTGCCGTATCCACAGGGATAGAGCCCTGGTTCCAAAAGCCGAAGGGGAAAAACCAGCAACTTCCACCAGAATTCCTCATCTGGGCTGTCTCAGGGTGTCCATGCTAACATAAAAGCAGAGGGGATTTTAGGAAAGTGGCCCAAGGATCTGTCAATGGAGCTTCCACTGGGAGGGACTGGAAGGCTGAGGGAGACAGACTGTTCACTGTCCATCCTTGTATCAGTCAGGTTAGGCTGCTTGTGCTGCAGAAACAAACAAGCCCTCGCATCCCAGTGGGAACCAGGAAGAGCCATTTCCCACACACAAAATCAGCCACAGGTCGAGCAGCTGTCCTTCACCTTGTGGAAGCAAGGCCCCAGTGGCTGAGGAGAGAAAGAGAGAAAGAAGGGTCACACTATCCTAATTGCCTGTGGTCTGGGGCTAGTCACTGGCCCTCACCAGACCCCAGGGGGAATGGAGGAGTCCATATAATTCCGGGTCACCTCTGGCTGGGCCAAGTGCTTTTGCACTATCTGAAATCTTCCTTAATTCTAGGACCATACAGTTTCTCCAATTTAAAGAGAAAGAAGAAAGATGAGGGAGTTGTTATCTGCCCTTGGAATAAAAGTGATGGGATGTGTCTCACCTGTCCCTGCCCAACTCAGCAAAACACCATCCACCCAAGAGAGGTGTCCTAAGCACATCCTACCAAAAACAGTGGAAGACGATATTTTTTTAACTTGCTAAATTTTGAAAAACTTAAATAATACGTAACAATTTCAATGTCAGCAGAACTTACTCTGCACAGGATCTAGCACGCAGTGGGCACTCGACAAACAGTCGTTGAATGATCAAATAGGAAGGCAGTGTGGGTCACCTCAGGGTCTTGGGAGGTGAGCGGGCCAGAGGCCCAGCGCCAGCGCTGGCCACAGCATCGGGCTAGCCAGGTAAGCAGCTGCTTTCTTTCCTTTCTTTACCCAAACCAGCCCCAGACTCGGAGCTGAAGTAGAGACAAAGGAAGAAATGGTGGGCGGGGTGGACGGGGCCATCCAGCCAGGGGGGGAGTGGGCGGGTCGGCTCTGTTCCATCCAGAGGCCTCATCCTGCCCGCATCCTGCCCGCGGGGCCTCATCCTGCATGGGGGGAGGGCGGCATGACAAGGACCCACCCATGACCCGTGACTGACACCCCCTCTGCAGACGGCTCTCAGCTCTGGGCCTCTGGTGTCCACTTTCCCCCGGCTGTGGCCTCCCCCTGCCTGGGCCTCCTCACAGCTCTCCACACCTGCGCCAGCTGCGCTCTCCCCACCCCCGTGGAGCAGGATTTCCTGCAGAGAGGAGCCGGGAGCTGCTTCCCTCCCCACCCCTCCCGGCTCGCCAGTGTCCCCCTCCAGAAGCCAGGCAGTGGCTCCTTCCAGGCCCCATGATCCCCGGCAGACCCAGCCTGCGTCTGAGGCCCCAGGGCCCAGGCGGTGACAGGGAGCAGGGCAGCCTCACCACCCAGGTTGCTGGTACCCACTTCCCGTGGCAACCGGGAGAACCTGGCAGCCAAGAAATATTTTTGCAAATTAATAAGCATTCTAAATGGAATGAGTTCTGGATACACTGTCCATGTCAGGTCGTGGAAGGGAAGGAGCCCACGTGCCCAAGTCCAGGCGCACAGTAGGGGCTTTGTGAACCAGACTAGTGTGCACTGCCTCCCCTCCCCGTCCCCCTCCCCCTTCCCCTCCCCTCCCCTCCCCTCCCTGGAATGGAACCCAGGGGCGCTCAACCACTGAGCTGCATTCCCCGCCCTTTTTATTTTTATTTGGAGACAGGGTCTTGTTAAGTTGATTAGATCCTCACTCCGTTGAGGAGGCCGGCTTTCAACTCACAGTCCTCACACGCTGGGATTACAGACGTGCAGCACCGCGGACACACGGATTTCTTTTCTTTCTTTTTTTTAAAAAATAATATTCTTCCTGGGGGCTGGGGTCGTGGTTCAGAGGTGGAGCGCTTGCTAGCACACCGGAGGCCCTGGGTTCGATCCTCAGCACCATGTAAAAATAAAGATTTTGTGTCCAACTACAACTAAAAAACTAAATATTAAACAAAATAATAGTAACATTCTTCCTTCCCGTCTTCCTCCACCCTTTCCTCCCTGCCTTCCCCCTCTCCCATCTCCCTTGCTAACTTGATGCTGGGCCACTTGGCTTTACCTTCTGTCATCGCTGGCTGAAGGGAGAATGTGGCTCCCCCTCCCCTGGTCCTGCAGCCCCTGTTCTGGGTGCCTCGGTCCTGCCCGCCCAAGCTTGGCCTCCGTGTCCCCACAGAGGGGTTGGAAAGCGTGACATCTAAGGGACACCGCAACGAAGCCACGTAGGCGCCGCCTTGGGTGTCTAGCTCAGCAAATCAGCTGTGAAAATGTAAGTGTTTTTAATTATCGCTGGAGCTGGGGAGGGAACCCAGACTTCGGGCATTTAGAGAACCAGCTTTACCAGCTTCACCAGCTTCACCGCTGAGTTACTCCCCAGCCAAAAGAGTTTTTTTTTTTAACCATCAAAATAAATGGAGGATGAGAGGGGGATCTGGCGTGGCGCCTGTCACCTGAGACCGTGTCCTGTGTCTCCTAATGCCGCTCACAATGTGACAGGGTCCATCCCCAGGGCTGATTCGGCTGACCTGGCTGGCTAGGTGGGGGTCCCTTTGCTCCCTCACCGCTCCAAGTGTGGCCCTCCCGAAGCTGCGTGCTCCATCCAAGAGGACGACCTTCCCAATAGAGGAGGTCCCAGTGGTTCCAGTGGTCTTGCAGGGCCCAGGCTGGCGGTCCACCAATCAGCACAAAATCACCCCAAATTTCCAGGCACTGGGTGGAGAGCAGGTCCCACTCCGGGATCCTGTTTTCTTCTCCGTATTCGTTACAGACAATTCAACTCAACGCGCTGCCGTGGACCATCACCGCGGCGCCTCCCGGCATCGCATCGACCGTGCCCTGCTGACGTTCAGTGGCCCTCCGCGGCGGCTGGATCATTTCACCTGTAAATATTTCACCAGGTTCGCGAGCAGATGAAGCTTTGATTTTTAAACATAACGAAACGTGGTTCCTCCCAGCAAACTCACATCAGTACCCGGTGCTCAGCGCCTCCCGTTTATGTTGAGAGCGCGTTTGGAAGTTCTAGCGGAGAACCCGGCTCCTCTGTACCCCTGACCGAAGGACCACTGGGAGTTGACAACCGGGAGAACCTGGCAGCCAAGAAATATTTTTGCAAATTAATAAACATTCTAAATGGAATAAGTTCTGGATACACTGTCCACGTCAGGTCGTGGAAGGGAAGGAGGCCACGTGCCCAGGTCCAGGCACACAGTGGGGGCTTTGTGAACCGGACTAGTGTGCACTGGGTACTCTTTGCTTCCTGGGGGCTGGTCTGCAGCAGTGGGTGGGTCCGGGTCACCAGCAGACCAGGCTGGTGGATGCGCAGCAGCTGGGTTGGCGCCAGACATTTCCGTGGCTTCCCAGTCCCGACCTCACCCTGTAAGGGGCGCCTTCCTGAAGCTCAGGACCCGCGGGCTCGCGCGCCCGTTCCGTGCACCTCCACCCGGTGGCGCCTTTGCAGTGTGGACAGGTCCTCTCGGGCCACCCCCCCACAGCGCTTTGGTGCTGGAACCTTCTTCTGAGCCTCCGTTGGCCCCAAGCAGACCCCAGGAATGACCCTCAGGACCTGTGTTGTGTCGGACCCTATTCTTGGATGATAATTCTCAAAACCACTGATTTGGAGATGGACATTGTTGGCATCACTCAGGGGAAGGTACTGAGACTCCAAGGGCCTCCTAAAGGGCACGTGTCCAAGCCAGCCCCATACCTGGCCACTGCACGCTGCTCTGCCAACCTCAGTTACAACCCCCTCCTCTCTACTGGCCCAGCTGGGACAGGCAGCGGGTCCCCACGTGGGCCTCCCGTTTCCCACCTGGTTGGATTTACAGGCACGTTGGCTAGGGCTGTCATGACCAGATGCCACAGGCTGGGTGCTCAGACCTCAGGGGTCACCCCCTCACAGAGGCCAGAAGGCCCAGGTGGAGGCCAGCTCCTCCCAGGTTCTCCTTGCTGCCGGGTGGCTTCTTCTCCGTGTCCTCACACGCCTGGTCTCTGTGTCTCAGAAAGCCGTCAGTCTTGCTGGTTACAGCGAGTGACCTCCGTGGCCTCCCGTGGCCTCCCGTGGCCTTCGTTACCTCCTAAAGTCCGTCTTCTGGACGTTCTGAGGTGCAGGGGGCAGGGTTTCTGCTCTGCAGGAATGGGGGACATACTTCACTCACTCTGGGGCCGTACCCAGGACCTGGGTGTGCTG